CTTTTCAGAAGAATTTGTGCTCGCGGTGAGCCCTCACAGTGGGAGCAGGTGTTGACGATCCCTGTGCGTCCGTCTACTGTTTGGGTGCCTAATGGTCGTGTCTTTCTGTCCAGGCTTCCGGATCTGATGCAGCATCCTCGTGAGCCTGTTCCTGCTGAGACACTTATTTGGGAGGGGTATTGCCTCCGGTTTCCAGTGGCGAACTTTCCTGACATATATGGGTTGGCGTGGCATTGCTTGCTCTCGTGTCCCACTTGTTCTATCTGCTGTAGGCCCTACAGGCTTATGGTTGTGTGCCTTGGGTTTCTTTATGTTCCATGTTTTTTTATTTTTGTGTCTTGTACCTGTCCTGTAAATTTCTTGTTTTGTTTTATCATGTTTTATTTGTGTTTTGCTTCTGTCCGTCGTGGACAGGCTACTGTAATGAGTTTTGTGTGTTCCCCTCATTGGAGCTTTTAGTTTGTGGCTCATGTTTGTCATTGTTTGCTGTAGACCCTTCAGGCCTGTGAATTTTGTGCTCTTGTGATCTATGTTATGTGTTCTAGTTATGTGTTCTGTATTTTGTTTTGTGGCCCTTCAGGCGTTAGGTTATGCTCTTTTATTTTCTTACCTTTGTGTTTGTTTTCTGTGAATATAATGTTATGTATTCGCTTGCTTTGCATGTAAAAAAAAAAAAATCAACCAATGGGTGCGGTGGGGCCAAAGTCTTCATTCTGGTAAAAGTGATGAACGCGGCAAAAGCTGTCGTTGTTGTTTTAGATTCAGCTACTCAGAACAAAAAGTTCCAAGTAGCACGGGCTATTGCGAGCCCGTAGTAGACTTACCTGGCACAGCAGCGGGGCTGTAACTCAAAAACTGTCGTTTCTAACTTCAAGCACGATCACATGGCGGCAGTGTGTGTTCGGGTATGGCGACTCAAGAGTGCTGGAACAAGTGGAAATTTGTTTGACGGAACTCAGGGAGGATAACATCCACACTCCGAGTAAGGCGCCAGGATCAGAACTCGGGAGAACATCGAGAGAGGACGCAGCTATATTGAAGAATGTTCTGTGTTCGGCATCACTTGTGTGTTGGAGACTTACTGTATGGCCAGTATGGGGGCCCTCTGTGGATTTAAGATTCGCTGTGCCTCGGTGGACAGTGTCGTTTTGGGTGACCTGAAGAGAGCAGAGCTCTCTGTAGACGAGTGCTGAATAAACTGTGATTCCACATAAGAGCGAGACTCGTTAAAGTTTGCACATAATCGTAGCAAAAGAGATTTCTCTAAGCAAGAAAAGCTTGTCGTAAACTGTTGCTCAACAAGAGGGCGAGACCGAAACACCTGTCAGTAATCACCACACGAGGCACTACCGGTGTTACAACACGTGTCAGTGGGAGTACTGACTTGACCTCTGCAGTAACCATCACGGGACGCCCTACAGGTGTTCAAGAACATGTGATATCACCTCACAATACCGGCACAGGCTGGCCGCTGGAAGGAGCCATTTAGAATACCTCGACCATACGGCAACATAATACACACCTAATTATAAATCTTTTATGCTACGAAAGTTTGACGGTAAAATATACATAATACATGATACTAAAGTACACATAATACCAAGAGATTGAAGCATGTAACAAGCTGCATTTTGAGTATTTATCTGAGGGATGAAGTGAGTGGCTCAATTCATCTGGAAAATTGAAAGTTTAATGTGAATCACAGTTTAGTGCGGAGGTTTTAGCAGGTAACACTCGACCTTGACCGACTGCGGGACGGCGAGAATGACGACCCAGGGACGGGCTTGAAGTATAAAGCCCGACTGGTGGCCGGGGAGGAGCCAGTGTACAGACAACTGACTACCGAGGCAGTTGGAGCATCTTAAACACAAGTGTTTCCTCATCACCCCAACAACACGCTAACAATAATGTTCACCTCAGTGAGTAGTGCTCAACCTACAGGGGCATACATACTCCGTGAGGTGTATCCATGTTTCTTCCTGTATAAACACTGAACTTACTGGTTGGTAAATGTACCAACCAGGACAGGAAAAAAATAATGTTTCTTATTTTTTTCAGCTGCTCCTACTTGTTGAGCAATTTTCAATGACGGGTGGATATTAGTGCTTAGGTTATTTCCTTCGTGAATCGGTTGCATCGTAATGTAGTTGGTAAGATAGTTACGATGAGCAGTGTAATAACCAGTGTAATAATAAGTGTGCAATGATATTTTGCAATATCAACAAATAATTGCGCCTTCTGGCCATTTCTGGAGTTCATGTAGATTGGTTTTCAAAGATTCGATCTCGTTTTGCCTTCCTAATTTACATATAAACCTTTGTGTCGGTTGCAAATTTAATTATGTGATTTGTAATATTCTATTCTTTGCCGTTCATAACAAAAGAAATAATTGGGCCCGTTTCTAATGCCTCTGTTCACCAAGCAGTAACTAGTTACCCCAGAGTTAACTGTGAGTACCCCAGTGAGTACTGTGAGTTACCCCAGAGTAACTGTTGTGAGGTTGCATCCTGGGGTAGGTCAATAGTTCGAAATAGGGGGGACGGGGGCGTTAATATAAGCCTAAAGTATATGTGTATATATGCACAGTATTTAGAAAACACAAGAAATTTAGAGTCGATATATCGGTCCGAAACCATGACCCTCATCAGCACTGAGAGAAAAAAGGAACTATAGTTGCTCTTTTGGCTTCATGTCAGGTGTCCTGGTCATAAGGACAAACATTAGGTAGCAACCTCCTTGTTACATATTCGTTCACCAAAAGTTGATTCTATTATTTTTTCTTTTGAAGTGTTGGGGATAATTTATAAAAAAATTATTCAGTCTTGATAAGGGAGCCGAGTGCTGTCTGGGGCTTGAGGTTATTGTCCTAATTGATGATTTTTGTGTTGGGTAATTAGGGGACGAAGTTAATTTTGGGTAGAAGAACCCCCAAGCACAGATACCATATGTAAAACAAGGTAGATAGAAGAGAAGATAGAATAATATAGCATTGCCAGGGCAGAGCGAAGTACGTAGCATCTGTTTTGTTTTTTAATATAATGCCTACTGTTTTAGAATTTTGTACGCTATATTTAGTATTTGGCACTGGAAATTCAACTTGTTACCAAACTTGTTCCTGTTAATTCAACTTGTTACCAAAGAATTTACCATCTACTTTGTTACTAATTTGGCTAATATAAAATTCTTAGGTTAATTAGATAAATGGATTTATTGCCAGACAAAATATAGGTTTTATCAATATTAAGGGTGACTTTTTAAAAAGTTAGCCAAAGATGAAATTTTTTAGTACAGTATTCACTGCGCCATTTAGAATAAGGGGGGCTAGGACTGGAGAAAATGAAGATTGTGTCATCAGCAAATAGAATTGGCTTGATGAATTGAGTGACATTTGAAAGGCCATTCATGCGAACGAGGAAAAGGAGAGGACCAAGTATTCTGCTCTTTAGAACGCCAATGACCTCTGACTCTATAGTGTTGCAGTTTTTGTCAAGAGCTGTACGTATCAGGTCATAATTACTAATTAGTGCTTCTTTGGAGTCTGAAATCATATTGGCAAGAACTAAGCTAATGTTATGCTAAATAGGATTAGAGTTGCTAGTACATTAGCTTTTCAAATATAGTTTGAGAGAAAGAATGCTCTGTGGACAGAGCATTTATATAGCTTAAGGCGTTAAGCTTTGCCTCAAGACGAAGCTTGGGCTGATCTTTAATTGGCTTCTTGGGTGGAAAAGGGGAGATGAAAATTTGAACTTTAGAGAGTAACTTCCCACGATGCTGGAAAGTGTTGCTAGATAGAGAAGTCAATCATTGAATATACGTTTTCTTTGATATTGTATTTAAGAAAGAATGCAAACATAATTGGGTGACTAAAGCAAAACATTGAAATTAGTTGACTAAATTCAATATGTTGCACACATTTTTAACTGTAATTATGCCACATAACCCAATATGTTTCTAATTTTGAACGTGTATATATAACTCATTTTTTTAACCGTGCAATAGAAAATACTAACCAGAAAAATGTCAAAACATGGTAATTTTAACCGTCCAGCCCAAGTGGTTGGACAGCGAACAGAACAATTTCGTCTAGGTCCGAGTCCTAACCAGGGAGAATTGACTGGGCACCAAACCCTTTATTGTTCATTATGATTACCCAGTAATATTTGACGACCGGGTAGTGATCAAACTTTGGCGAGTCGTGTTCCAGTGAAAGCTGCTAACAGTAACTAGAATTCTTCCAGTCTTGCGTCACATGTTTACACAAAAAATGGGAAATATAATCATTCAGAAAGATTTAATCTGAATGTCATTTTAATTTAGTGTTTGCGATATGGCACCAATGTTATTGGCTGTTTCCTCATAGTTTATTGAACAACATGACTTGTCTCCTAGGTCATTTTCAATAACATGATCGACCTGCTGAATAACAGGACCTGCTGACGTCCTGAATAACACGACCTGCTGACGTCCTGAATAACACGACCTGTTGACGCCATGAATAACACGACCTGCTGAATAACATGACCTGCTGAATATCATGATTTGCTGACGTGCTGAATATCATGACCTGCTGAATAACATGACCTGCTGCATCCCGCCATATTCAATAACATGAGGTGCTGCAAAACCCTAAAGAGAGAGATAGCTTGCTGGGGTGTATCATCCCCTGACGACGCACACACACACACACACCCTCATAACCTCCGAGTGTATTTGGTCTCGGGAAATACTACACCAAAAATGATTAGATGAAGCTCCATCTTATACTTGATTGTCAATTTTAAGCTTTGTGACAAGTTGAAAACACTCCATAAATGCTCCAAACTGACTCTCCAAACACCTGCGGTTTACAAATATTTAAGAATATTCTCTAGTATTTAAAAACATAGACTTACATCTACTTGTAATAAATGTAGGCCTACATTTATTTAATGTAGGCCTCAGACACTATATTATATTATTTAATAACATGTAGTGATGTGTCCCGCAGGTGGTGTTGATGTGCTTGATGGCGGCCCTGGGTGTGGCTCTCCCAACCGGCTACAATGTAGGTATTGTATTGAGGATATATATTTCACTGGCTTAGAAACATGACTTTTTGTGTTTTTGGTATTTTACTCATCTACATAACTAAAAGCGTGACTTCAAGGCCATACCTACCATCTCTTGCATAAACAGGTTCCCATCCCTTACAACTTTGATTACGGAGTGAGCGCCGGGAACAACAACTTCGGCCACCAGGAGGCCGGTGACGGCCACAACGTGAAGGGTTCGTACTTCGTGCACCTTCCCGATGGCCGCGTGCAGACTGTGAATTACTGGGCCGACGGAAGCGGCTACCACCCCACCGTCACCTACCAGGGCACCGCTAGTTACCCCAGCTATGCTCCCTCCTATGGTTACCACTGACACACCCGCCTACACATGCTCAAATGTTAACGTAAATATTTTGTTGAAATCTAAAAACACACACAGTCATCGATTTATTGTTGAATCATTTACGTTATCGAAATTGGTCGTTGAAAGTAAACACAGCAGTAATGTGCACTGCTTCTCCCAACTTCTGTTCTTATTTTTGACGTGTAAATAAACTTTTTGTGAATAAATATCCGAACATAAGGAGTTGTGTTTCTGTCAACATTTTCTCGGTACAGATTCAAGCTCCGTATTGAGTGAGATATAAATGTAATTAATTATAAAAGTGCGAAAGAATTATAAAGCCAATTTAATAGATGTTTTACATCTGTGTGGTTACTACCGACATCGGTCTTGTTCATAGCTTGGTGGTAAGGGGTAATGGCCGCCTTCAGCCCTCGAGGACGAAGATGAGAACAACGTAGGCCATTGCTGCGTCGTAGACGATGATCGCCCGACCATGAGAAGGGGCGCTTGACCGGCTGTGTCACCTCCTACGTCCTTAACACGTCTCTCGCTCTTAAGACTTGTCTCGCTCTCAGGACGTCTCTTGCTCTCAAGACGTATCTTTCTCTCAAGACGTATCTTGCCCCCCAAGACGTGTCTCGCTCTCAAGACGTCTCTCGCTCTCAGGACGTGTCTCGCTCTCAAAACATGCTTCGACCCCAAGACGTGCCTTCCCCCCTCCCCCCCAAGACGTGTCTCGTCATCCTGTCGTCTTTCTCACTCAAGTGAAGTCTCGTACTTCAGACATCTCTCTTCCAGGCCATCTTCATCTCCCACGACCTGGAGCCAGACTGATCGTTACTTATCGATGACTTCAGGTAACTAACGCATGCCATCACGTAACCAAAACAGCAGGTAACGTGCTCCCGACAGCAGGTAACGTGCTCCCGACAGCAGGTAACGTGCTCCCGACAGCAGGTAACGTGCTCCCGACAGCAGGTAACGTGCTCCCGACAGCAGGTAACGTGCTCCCGACAGCAGGTAACGTGCTCCCGACAGCAGGTAACGTACTCCCGACAGCAGGTAACGTACTCCCGACAGCAGGTAACGTACTCCCGACAGCAGGTAACGTACTCCCGACAGCAGGTAACGTGCTTCCGACAGCAGGTAACGTGCTTCCGACAGCAGGTAACGTGCTTCCGACAGCAGGTAACGTGCTTCCGACAGTAGGTAACGTGCTTCCGACAGCAGGTAACGTGCTTCCGACAGCAGGTAACGTGCTTCCGACAGCAGGTAACGTGCTCCCGACAGCAGGTAAAACGTGCTCCCGACAGCAGGTAACGTACTCCCGACAGCAGGTAACGTGCTCCCGACAGCAGGTAACGTACTCCCGACAGCAGGTAACGTGCTCCCGACAGCAGGTAACGTACTCCCGACAGCAGGTAAAACTTGCTTCCGACAGTTTCTAGCTCATGAGTGAGAAGAGTGAGCTCAGCACCCTGAAGACGATACTCGGCCGCCCGCGACAAGGTCTGGCTCGCTCACGACGTTATTTGGCTGCCCTTCGAGTGAGGGGGTCGTCACCCCCTCCCCTTCCCCCAGCGGGTAGAGCTTGTTTGGTCCACACACCTGCCTCGCCTTCATCGTGTACATTAGAGGGAAACCGGTTGAGCGAAGGTCTCGCATCATCCGGGATCGGAGTTCAATCCCCAACCGTCCCACAAGTGGTTGGGCATCATTCCTTCCCTCCCCCCCGTCCCATCCCAAATCCTTATCCTGGCCCCTTCCCATGGCTTTTTAGTCGCAATGGCTTGGTTCTTTCTCCTGGTTTCCCTTCCCTTCGACTTGTTGCTTTTACAAACATTATTTCAAGAAATCCTTTAAATAACCAATTTACAAAAAAAACACGTATAATAATGCATGCGGTCAAACAGATTTCAAATGACATGAATAGTGAGATGTACAGTGATGGTGAGAAGCACGTCACCGCTTACATCATCCAGCGTTCCTCACCGCAACACCATCGTTCTTTACTGCGGTGGTGGGAAGACGTGGTGGAGAAGGCTGGTGTTGGGGAGGCTGGTGTTGGGGAAGGCTCACACACACACACACACACACACACACACACACACACACACACACACACACACACACACACACACACACACACACACACACACACACACACACACACACACACACACACACACACACACACACACATGATCACAACCTACAAAATCCTCAGGGGAATCGACCGGGAAACAAGGATAAACAATTCAACACTGGCGGGACGCGAACAAGGGAACACAGGTGGAAACTGAGTTCCCAAATGAGCTACAGAGATATTAGAAAGAACTTTTTTAGTGTCAGAGTGGTTGACAAATGGAATGCATTAGGAAGTGATGTGGTGGAGGCTTACTCCATACACAGTTTCAAGTGAAGATATGATAGAGCCCAATAGGCTCAGGAACCTGTATACCTGTTGATTGACGGTTGAGAGGCGGAATCAAAGAACCAGAGCTCAACCCCTGCAAGCACAATTAGGTGAGTACAAAAGGTGAGTACACTGTGTGTGTGTGCCACTGACTTACAGTGCTATACCCACCTGGTATAACACTGCAGCACCTAGTATACTGCAGTAACATCTAGTATACCATAGAGACACCTAGTATATCACAGTACCACCCGGTATACCACTGTTGCACCTAGCACACCACAGTAACACCTATATACCGGTCTAACGCCTAGTTATACCATAGTACCAATTAATATACCCCGTGTAGCGCCTGGAATACACAGTACCACCAAATATACCACAGTAACAGGTAGTATACCACAGTAACAGGTAGTATACCACAGTAACAGGTAGTATACCACAGTAACAGGTAGTATACCACAGTAACAGGTAGTATACCACAGTAACAGGTAGTATACCACAGTAACAGGTAGTATACCACAGTAACAGGTAGTATACCACAGTAACAGGTAGTATACCACAGTAACAGGTAGTATACCACAGTAACAGGTAGTATACCACAGTAACAGGTAGTATACCACAGTAACAGGTAGTATACCACAGTAACAGGTAGTATACCACAGTAACAGGTAGTATACCACAGTAACAGGTAGTATACCACAGTAACAGGTAGTATACCACAGTAACAAGTAGTATACCACTGAAGCACCTAGTGGTTGGTGCTCAAAACGTTCCTCGCCAACCACCTCAGGCAAAATAGCAGGAAAGCTGTCCGGCCCTGAACCAGGGCTGGTTTTTGGCGGGAACGAGCCCCCGCGTTCGTTGTGTGCGCACGAACGCGGTGCACGAAGCCACTAGTCACACAAGCGATGATTACTGAAGCAGCTCGTTCGCTCGATTTCCTCTGCGTAAAAAAAAAATGAATGGAATGGATTAGCCTAACTAAAAAGCGTTGAAACCTATATGCTATCCATCTGGCCGACAGAAACCGATTGTTCATTAGTCTCCCCCCCTTCCCGCCCAACCCGAAAAAAGCGTCACTACTGAAGGGCAATTAATTTCCATAAACCACTTTTACGCCTGGGTCGACTGCGTATAAAATGTAGTGCGTAGGTCAGTAAAAGGTCAGGGGCTAGATTCACGAAGAAGTTACGCAAACACTTACGAACCTGTACATCTTTTCTCAATCTTTGGTGGCTTTGTTTACAATTATTAAACAGTTAATGAGCTCCGAAGCACCAGGAGGCTGTTTATAACAATAACAACAGTTGATTGGCAAGTTTTCATGCTTGTAAACTGCTTAATAAATGTAACCAAAGCCGTCAAAGTTTGAGGAAAGATGTACACGTTCGTAAATACTTGCGGAACTGCTTCGTGAATCTGGCCCCAGGTTCCGGCTCGGAGAAGAACTGTATAGGGGGAACACAGGCGGGAGGACAGAGCTTTGATTTGTTTAATATATCCATATCTATTAAAGAGAATGTCTCTGTCTGTCTGTCTGTCTGTCTGTTCGAGGCTGGAGGGCGGCCGGGTGCGGTTAGCCTCCATGCAACTTTCCACCGTCACTTGTATGGTAAGTGTTATACAGAAAACAAGTGACAATAACAAGTAACTTCTTCTTTCTTACAGTTTTTTTGGGTCTCCCTTATACGAGGGCGTTAGGTTTAAGGTATATAACAAGGCATATTATAACAAAGTATATAACAAGGTATTATAACAATATAACAAGATATATAACTAGGCATTATAACAAGGTATAACAAGACTTTACTTCTTACTGCTCTTGGTTCCTCAAGTTGTTGGCTTTGGAAATAAATTTTCAGAAAAAGAAGATAATTGTATGAAACAGATTATATGATTCATTGTTATTGTATTTTTTCATATATTGATTATAAATGCTAAGCTAAGCTAAGCTAAGCTAAGCTAAGCTAAATAAATGCTCTAACTCAGTTAACTGAAAATAACAAAGATTCTTACCATTAAATCTGACCATCATTGTAAACTGAAACATTTAAGAACTGATTCATCAAAAACAATTAATGCTGATAAGATTATTTTTAATATTTTCTGAAAGAATTTTATCCAATGAAGAGAAGGATGTGCTATCCTTCGGTCTTTATTTTTGTATTGCTTTGTACTAAGGTAAACTATATAATAATGATTTTTCTTGAGCGCGGGTTAGGTTCCCGGACAAGGCGCGAGACGTTTGGGCACGTTTCCTTACACTAGCAGTATATTGCTGGCTTACACTAGCAGTTACACTAGCCAGGGAGTTAAACAATAGTTGCCAGAAATACTGTGCGTATTAGTGACTTTAGGCACTGTATGTTCTATCTAGAAATCCAACATTTTGTTTGTAACTCATCTTGAATGCATCTACTTCTACCTGTATAAACATTTATTTATTACTATTGTTATTTATTATTATTTATGTTGTGAGCTGCATCCCGGGAAGGTCACTCGTTAACTTAGATCAGAGGAACGTCAGCAACGAGAGAGCAATGTAAGGTGTGGACATTAGACGAAGTATTGTCTAGTTTATTCTTTAATCAATACGCGATATTACTGAGAGTT